TTTTTTCTTAACATATATTGCATTATTTGTTTCAGAGGTACAGATCTGAGATTCAACAGTCTTACACAATTCACAGCGCTCACCATAGCACATATAAAAGAAAGATTTTATTTCTTCATTTGAGACACAGATACAGAGAAAGAGTGAGAGCATGAGCAGGGGAGAAGCAGAGGGAGAGGGAGAAGCAGGCTCCCCACTGAGCCAGGACCCCAATGTGGGGTTTGATCCCAGGACCCTGAGATCATGACCTGAGCCGAAGGCAGCTGCTTAACCATCTGAGCCTGCTTTTCTTTCTCCTTAGCTCTCCTTAGCAGATGCAGCTAAAGCCATTGCACACGCAGCAAGGCCTGGCTCCTCTTGCTGCCACTGATTGCAGCCCCTGCTGAAAGGAGAATCCCTTGTTAGTTAGTACCTAGTTTTGGATTATTTATGTGGTGAGTAACTAAGATCTCAAGTCAAACAGATTTAAACAACATAAAAGGAAGGTATTGGCCCAGAGGACTGAAATGTTTGGCAGGAGGAGGACTTTAGGTGAGGTTTGATCCAGCAGTTTCAAACGATGGCACCATAGGCCTGGACTCCCTCTGCCTCTCTCGATGCTTCCTTCACCTTCATGCTCCAGAGGGTTGTTGCTGCCAGCCTAACCTCACTCCTCTGCCCCCAGTAGCTCTGGACACTCCTCTCAATACCATTCATATTGTACCAATGGGCTCACTGCTCTACACTGCATGGTTCAGAGAAGAGAGAACATTTCTCTCAAGAGTTGGAAGAAAAGTCTGAGGGGCTTGGCTCTCATAGGCTTGAACTGAGCCACATGTCCATTCCTGAACCAATTTTTGTGACCAGGGGGATGAAATACTCTCATTGGCTGAAGCCAATCATGACCCACCCCGGAGAGGTGTCTATCCCACCCAAACCTTGTGGCTCAGACGGAGGGTGGGGAAGTAGGGAGTGCTCTGCAAAGGAAATTTCGGGTCTGGATCACCACAAGGGTGGATGGGTGACAGTGGGAAAAACCCAGACGTCTGCTATAGGGCTGTGTGACAAGAGGCAGGAGCAATGCCAGCCGGCCAGGGGGCGCCCACCCTAGCACTCCTGCACCTTCAGGCACAGGGGCTTGCCTCCGAGCTGGACAGGATGAGGCAGCAGGCACCCAACTCCTTTGAGGGTGCTCAGCGATGCCCTTCCCAGCGTCCGAAGGGCCTCCTTCCATGGTTCCGTCCTGGTCTCCAGTCATCCTCAGCTGGGGCCTGCTCCGAGACCTGGCCTCTGCCCCCAGCTGATGGAGCTGCTTTCCAGCTCAAGAAGCCCCACTTTGGGAGTCTCCCAGCCTAGAGGACATAGGGAGAGTTGGGGGTCACAGGGGTGGCGTACAGAGGGGCACACCCTCCCCCCTAACTCCTCTGCCTCATTTCCGTTGGATCCCTGCTTTACTCTTTTTTTTTTTTATTAAAGATTTTATTTATTTGACAGAGAGAGACAGTGGCGAGAGGGGGAACACAAGCAGGGGGAGTGGCAGGCTCCCCGCCGAGCAAGGACCCTGGGATCATGACCTGAGCTGAAGGCAGGCGTTTAATGACTGAGCCACCCAGGTGCCCCCCTGCTTTACTCCTGAGACAACTGGGTCACTGGAAAACCAGAACCAATGTTGGAAAGGTAGTAAATTTTTCAGAAGTTTATTGATCAATAGATTGTTTCATTTGTTTGACACTTCTAAACAAGATTACAAAAAAATAGAAGCATTGTGTATTAACTGCATTGGCTAATGGACACGTAACTTGATACACTCTTAACTTAGGCCCATGTTTACCTGATTAAACTCAGTGGTTATCTGTCATAAGAGCGTTATTTCTCTGCTACATTCTGCGGAGGAAATAAACAGCGCCTCCGTTAACCGCTTTCCTGATCTTCAAGGCAATTTGCCTGGGGTACTGCTCTGGGCGTAATGAAGGAGTGTAATGGTGCAAAGTGGGGAGGGCCCAGGGGTGGCTGTCAGGCCGTGACTGGTGGCTAAGCCCCCCGCTGGGCAGTGGGCTGCAGCGTAAGACATTCGCTGTGTGGTGGACAGGCGGCTTCTCGGGAGGCCCAGCAGAAGCATGGCAAAGGGCTGTGGTCAGGGGTGGTGGGGCCAGGGCTCTGCGGAGGCTTCCCCTGTGGGCTGGTAATCAGGGTGCGGGTTGAGGGGAGGGCAGGAGGCATTGGCTTCTCCGCACATGCTCTTTGACCCGCCTGGACACTCAGTCCCATGATACAGAATTTAATTCCTCAAAGGCCCACCGTCCTGCAGGAGGAACCACAACTCCAAATCGAAAGATGCTATAGCTCCATAATGACAAGTGCTCCGAGGAGAACCCAGTCCAGCCCCGGAAAGACGAAAGTCAGCTAGATGAATGGCCCTCCCCATCGCAGGGGGACCCGTGGGCCATGCCAGTGTGCAGTAAGGAAGGACTCCATGTACAAAGCTGGGCTGGAGCACAAGGCTGGAGCAGGTTGGACATCTGCATGTCGCCACGAAACCGGAGGGTTGTGAGAGGTCTTGGTGCAACGTTTCTTTACAGATTGGTTCAGGAGGGCCTCACTGGCAGGCTTCCAGCTTGCAAGCTGACTTTGGGAGGGGGAGGCCGAAATTGACATCCCCCCTAAACTCAAGGCTGCGGAGGTTTGTTACCTGGTACCAGGGGCTGTGTGGAAAATGGAGTCAACATTCTTAGATCTTCTTCCGTGGAGTTGTGGAGAGCATGGAGAGTCTCAGTGCTAGAGTTTAATCTACTTCCACCCTCCTGCCCTGCTGCGAATGCTCTGCCGAGGGAGTACTTTGAAAACTGGGGTGATGTGGGGAAGGCAATGCGGTCGGGCAGTGTGAACAGAATTCTAGAGCGCTCTGCTCTCCCCCAGCCCTGCTGCACGGGGAGGCAGGATAAGGGGTGTTTTGGACACAGACTCAAGGAACTTTGTGCAGGTCCTGGGAACATACGGGTCCCTCATCCTTGGCAGCCATCCCTGAGGTTTTCCAGGGCTTTTCTTTCCAATCAACTTTTTCACAACGAATGACTTCATGTTGTAAGAGAAGATGTTAAGAAAAATGGGCATGTGATTTCCTTTTTTTTTTTTTTCTTTCTCAGCAGGGAAAGGATGCAGCTGCCAGATGTTCTCCCACCTGATGGCATGGGGGTGGCGATCACAGTGCCACGAGAAGTTTCCTTCCGTGTAGAAAGCAGAAACCTCAGTCTGCTAAAGGCTTTCCTCTATGTCTCTGCATAGACAAAACTGGGCCATATCTGCATATATACCCATTGACAAGTATCAAGAATACATACTCATAAAAACAAACTGAGGGTTCTAGAGGGGAGGGGGTGGGAGGATGGGTTAGCCTGGTGGTGGGTATTGAGGAGGGCACGTTCTGCATGGAGCACTGGGTGTTATGCATAAACAATGAATCATAGAACAACAAAAAAAAAGAATACATACTCATGTGGTGTATGTGTGTGTATATATATATATATCTTTATGACGATTGGGAAGAACTAAAGGAACAGGATAATTCTGAATGGAAAATCAGCTAACCCTGGCATCGCTAAACCTTTGGACCAATGAATTCTCTCTTCTTCGCTCTGCTTTGCCCTTTGGAGGACCCCCTTGTGGGTACACACCTGGGCAGTCCTCATGCGTTCACCAAACCATCTGCTTATATTACAGTACTGACATAAACCTTTCTTTGCTACGTATTTGATTAATTTCAAAGTGCTTATTAAGATTAAAAATCCTATTATGAATTTACTTCTCTTAAAGTGATAGTATTTAAAAAGTAAACTAGGGAGTGTGAGGGGTGGCATCTGGATAAAATAAAAATGTTAAGTCTGCATTTCTGACCCTGATGTCACAGGCAATATCATAAAAAGAAAAAACGGTGGTTTCTGGAAGGCTCGGGCGGGACTGTTCTGATTTCCTTCACTTCGGTGCCATGTGGCCATCACCATTTTGTGCCTCTCTTTTGTATTGTGTAAATAACAATGGAGTAGCCCACAGAGGAGGGAAGGTGGCAGTGAGCATTACCCGCTCCGCCTCCGCCTGACGGGCACCTGAGCGAGTGGACCAGAGAGCTTTATCCGGAGACTTAGAGAGAGAACACTCAGGAACCAAATCCCGCCTTGTGATGGGCATGCACACTATGAGCCTCACAGCCTTTTGAAGAAAAGGCTTCATATGAAAGATTCTGTCCTGTTTCTGTATAAAGGCTTTTCTTGTAAGAAAAACTAGACATAATAAAAATGCCCATTTTTTTAAAATAAAAAGTGTATAAAGCTAGAGAATGACCTTTACTACCTGACAACCTGAGGCGGGCTGACCTTGCATTCCCCTTGGGTCCCTAGGCCCCCCACACTGCAGGCACCAAGACATGGGTTTAAATTTAAATCCTGTCATTGACCAAGGAGCCTTGGGGACATGTCACCACACTGACGACTGCAGAGAACCACCTCTTTCCTTTACTGTAGTTTCATTATGATAAATAGACTTTGCTACAAATTATTGGACAGACCAGTAAGAAAAGCCAACCTTCAGACTTCAACATGACTTGAATACTAGAAATCTTGCCAGGGGCTAATAAAGGTTCTGAGTTTCAAATTCCCAACCAAATGCAACTTTGCTGGGAAGGTCTGGGGTGGGGGGAGCTCTGGGTGGGTTAGTCAGGGGGCTGCTGGGTATCACAGATGCTCTCTGCTGGCCTGGCTGCCTGTCCTGCTCGAGCCTGCAGGAGGGATGGGGGCAAACACAGGCACAAACCCGGGGGAAGCAGTCTTCTCTTTGGTAGATGGCCTGGAGAGAACAGAAACCTTCTGTGCTCTATTATGTTCCACTCTCAACACAGCAGGAAACGAAATAAATAAGATCAACTTTGCTCCCTCCTGGTACCCTCTAAGGGACAGACAGGAGCCAAGGCAGGTGCATGATGATGTGTGGCCCAGCGCAGCTCAGGCTCGCCAGCTCCGGAAGAGCCCCCGGCTCACTCCCTGTGGTTGTGGGATTCTATCCAGAAATGTCTATGTCTCTCCAGGCTTCCCAGTACTCTTTGGTCAATTTCTCTTTCTTCTCAACCCTTCAATCTCCTTATCCCACCCCACCCCCCCGCCTCCCAATATTTTAATAGAAACTCAGGGAATTTTAGAGGTGAAAGAACCTCATCTAGTGACCTGTGTCTGCCCTCCTCATTCCACAGGTGGGGAAACTGAGGCACAGAGAGGGCAGTGCCGTGGCCAGGGTCAGTAAGTCAGTGGCAGCACGGGCCTCAGGCCTGGGCCTCCCCCCTCCCCCCCAACCCTACCGCCCGTTGCCTGCCCTGAGAGCAGCCCACCCCTCAGTCGGCCTTTGGCAAGGACTTCCTGTGGGAGGGGGGCACGAGGTGGGGGGGCAGGCTGTTGGGCAGCTCGTAGCCGTCGAGCTTGATCTTGATGAAGTGCTTGGCCAGCGCGAACTCCTCCTCATCCAGCATGCCGTCACAGTCACAGTCAGCCAGCTTCCAGATCTTGCCCAGGACGCTGTTGGGCAGCTTGGATGTCACCATCTCCTTCTTGGCGTTGACACCTGATATCTTGCCGTTGACAGGCGACAGGGTGTAGAAGAGCTCATCGTAGATGGGCTTGTCTTTGGCCACGACCCACTCCTCCTCGTCGGCACCCTCCTTGGCGCCTTCCCCGTAGCCCTGGTTGAAGGGGCCCTCAGTGGTGCCGTCGAAGGCCCCGCCCTGCACGAGCTGCGTGGGCATGCTTATCTCCTCCTGGCTGATGAGGTTCATCAGGGACGAGATCTTGCTGCTCAGCATGTTGTCCACTGCCTCGATCAGCTTGGGTTTCAGCGAATGGAATTTGGTGAAGTCATAGTTCTCCAGCTGTTCCTGCAAGAGGAGAAACCACAGACTTGGTCACAGGCCCTTGCTTAGGAAGCAGACAGGGAGAGGGCGAGCTGTAGGCAGAATTTTCCCTTAAGCAGACATCCCATCCCTGGGCTGCTCCAGAGCTCTCTCTCTTTGGTGGGGTCCCCACACCCGAATTCACCAGATCCAGGAGCGGCTTTTGGAACAAGAAACAAGATGCATAGAACACAACTTTTTTTTACAGTAGCTAATCTTTGGTGGGCAGCCACGTGAGGGATTGCTGTCCCCTAGAGCTTCTGGACACCCTTCCTTCAAGCTTGCCTTTGTGTGTGTGTGTGTGTGTGTGCTCTAGAGATTAAACATTTTACCTTCTAAGATGATCTTATGACATACTTCTGTTGATCTTTACAACAATGCTGGGAGTAAGGAAGGGCAGGGGTGAATAACCCTGTTTGATGGACAGCACATGGGGTGTTCTGACAGAGCCAAAACGAGAGCACCTGGCTCCTGCCTCCTCTTGACTAATGCTCTTTTGTGCTGTAACATGAAGCTGTGTCACAGGGTCTTTTTAGGTAAAACAATTATTTAAGGATGTTGTTTTGGGATGTTAAAAAAATGTTGTTTAAGGTACAAATAAGTAAAAGTTGAAACTGGTAAGTGGGAAAAGAGTAGGAATGGGGAGGGTGAGTAGAAATCCAGCCAGTGGGGCTGAGTATCACTAGCCCGGGCAGGGCAGGTCTCAGCTCCACCTGCCAGGAGAACTGGCCCATTAGCAGACAGAGTGTCAGGAACATGGCAGGAACTGGGGAGGGCCCTGGGACACAGCAGTTGCCCGACTGGGATGGGAGCCAACTGTAGATGCCACATAGGCTCTGTGGATGGCCCTGTAGAAGCAGTCCTTCCTACCTTGGTTCTCCTTGGTTACTCATCCATCCATCCATCCATCCATCCATCCATCCATCCATCCAACCTTGCATCCATCCTTCATCCATTGACCCATCCAACAGTTATTGCCAGGCTCTGTTTGGAGCCTGGGGATAATATAACCACAAAGAGCCACAGTCTCTGCCCTTAGGGAGCTTATGTTCTAAAAGAGGGAAAACATTCTAGTTTTTTTAGTTCCTGTCTACTTTCAAAAAGGGTTTGACTTAGCTTACAGTGGAAAAATGATAACATGAAATAGAAGAAAGTCATTAGAAAGGGAAAAGCTAAGTAATTGAGAGGGAGAGCAAGGGGACCATTACATCAGACTTCTAAGGTGAGAAAAGCTACTGCCCCTCAGACGCCCTGGCTGGGGTGCGGGGGCAGGGGGGCACCCTCTCACTGCCTGAGGGAAGAAACCACCTGATTGTTGCAAGAGACAAACTTTTTCTGAATTATGAGAGGTACCTGGGGCCTTTTATGATCTTCGAAAAATGTCTTCAACAGCAGTTTTGCCAAATAAATGCAGAAAATTCCAGATATGGAAGTTTTTATATGGGCTTTATGCGAAATATTTCTGTTAGGAAAATTCTAGAAGGCCAGTGAGGAGCCATCCAGGTGTGCAATTTTCTGGAGATGAGGTAGGGAGACCCCTGAGTAAAAGAGGTTTCACTCAGACCTGACTGTTCTGGGCAGAAGTAATGTGATGGGCAGTTAGGGGGAAAAAAAGCAAAATTTTGTGCAATCATAAATATCACATCTTTATTGTAAAAATTTGGGAAAAAACTGATAGACAAAATAAAAAATTTCAACCACTTATAATTCCATCACCCAGGGATACCTTCTGCTAACTTTCTTTGGGCACATATTTCCAGCCATTTTTATAAATGCGTGCAAGCGTGCGCACACACACACACACACACACACACACACTCTTTAACTGAAATAAGACCATACTGTTTGACAACTTTCATTTTTTTTTTTTTTAAAGATTTTATTTATTTGGCAGAGAGAGAGATAGCGGGAGCAGGAACGAGAACACAAGCAGGGGGAGTGGGAGAGGGAGAAGCAGGCTCCCCGCTGAGCAGGGAGCCCGATGCGGGACTCGATCCCGGGACCCCGGGATCATGACCTGAGCCGAAGGCAGACGCTTAACGACTGAGCCACCCAGGCGCCCGACAACTTTCATTTTTAAGAAAAGAATGTATCACATCTTTCCCTGATAATAGTTTTTATACAATCTTATTCATGAGAGCTGTATAATATCGAACTGTACAGCTGCGCTGTTCTTCGTTTACCCTATCCCTGTGGTTGGACATGAGTCAGAATTGTGGTCTCTAGAGGGTACCAGCAGGGCAGACATTCTGTGCTGTTACTTGCAAGGGGGGCCCTGAGCTTCAGGTGGAGGGACAGAGCTAAAAGCTAAACAGCTTGATGGATGTGTAGGGGGCACGTCCACACTCTTCTCAGTAGCAAACTCTGAGGCCCTCAAACCACGCAGGGCCAGGCTGGGCTGACACCCGGCGGGCAGCCGGCTCTCCGCTGAGAGCCACACGGTGGTGCGGGCCCGGTTTCTAAACCCGTTCCGGTTTGCGTGTCGTCTATCCTCACTGACAGACCACGGCCACCTGCATGCCACTCCAATACCAGCACTCAGCGTTGCCGACTGCCGCTCGCTCAGTCAGCCAGGGGAACGGAGAAGGCGAAGCCCAGGAGGAGGAGGAGAGCAGGCAGCCTACACAAAAATCCGAGTGCTGCTGCGGTAAACAAGTCTGGATTCCCCTGGGTGCACAGACACCTACCCTCCTTCCCCATGAATGAGCCTGAGCTCCGAGCATACACAAAGCCCCTGTGTCTGGCCAAGCAGACGAACGAGGGCGGAGTCCGCCCGAACCTTCCAGCTGCCTGCGGGGTCCATGGTTCCTATGGCAATCCGCTGGAAGGGGAAATGGCCACATGTCTGCAGGGGTGGACAGGAAGTAACAGTAGCAGCCACCCCTTGCCTGGAGGGCACAGAGGAAACAAGCCCTCTACTCTCATCCCAAGGCCTGACCAGGGAGTATGGGTGCAAGTGAAACCGTGCCATCCCTGCCCTCCACCGGGTTCGCTCCCAAAGGACTTCTTTGTATTGGAATGAATACACACGGGGGAATTTACAGATTTACCCGTCAGCAGTTATATCCATCAAAGCCAGCAAGCCCGGGATCCTGGAACTTCTCCCTCCCAAGGCACAAAGGTCAGTTCCCAGCCCAGCTCCCTGGCCTCTCTCTTGCCCGCTCACGGCCTGCGTTCACCAGAAGCTGTGTTCCAGTTTACAGTCGGGCTGAGCAGGTGGCGAAGGCTCTGCTGCCCTCTGCCGTGGGAACGCTGCCCCCTCGTCAGCTGAGGGGGGCGGGCTCTCCGAGGAGGGAAACTGAGTCCTCGATCCAAGGGGCCTTGCTAGTGTTCTCACTCTCCAGGCTGGACCCTTCCGTGTGGTAAGTCGGATTCCCTCCCGAAAGGGGGCAGGGCAGACCCAGGCTGCTTCTCCAGCAGGTCACGGGCCTTCAGGCCCGCCCTGTTCCTTGGGGAGTCCCTGAAGGGACTGGGGTGGTGTGATCAGGGCCTGGCCAGCTTCCCAAGGAGGAATCCTCTTCCAGCTTCCAGGGACTTGCTCTGAAAACTGCTGGGCTCTCTATAAGTCGTGTGGGTGTCAGGGCGAGGTCACGGTCCGAGAACTGCACTACCCTCCAGCCTGCTCGATGTAAACACACACTAACTTGCCAAGGAGCTCATCTAACTGTTCACTGGGCACCTGCTACCCCCCTGGGGATATGGCGGTGCCAGGACATGGGTCACTGGCCTCCAGAGCCTCATGGGGTAGAGAGCCACTGAATAAATAAATGAATGACACTGAAGCACCACAGCACTAGGGTTGTAACAAAGAGCACAAGTCCTAACATCAGGCTTGGCTGCCAAAACTTCATTGCCAGCCATAGTCACAGTGGCTAATACTGTAATCCAGAACATACACTCCGTAGGGGCAGGGATGTGTGCTGTTTGTTCACGGATGTATCCCAGGGACCTAGAACAGTGCCTGGCATGGTACACTTAATTAATATTTCTTGGTGAGTGAGTAAATGAACATGGGCAGATGAGGGTACCCGTCGGGTGGCGCTCCTCACTGCAAGGGCTAGGGGCACTCAGGTGTCTACTGCCGGTGCTAAGGCCTCTCCCGAGATGCTAAAACAGGGGCCCATGGCTTCCTTGTCTTCTTCCCCAGGGACCGCCCCCCTGCTCCAGCTCAGAGAGGCCTGGGCTTCCTCTGACGTGGCTGAGCCGAGGCTAACACGGCCGTGAGAAGCTCTGGTCGCCGCGTGCTACCTGTGTTATGGGAGGTCACCTGGGGACAGGTGTGCAGGTCCTGTAAAGGAGGCTTATAGCTGCTTCCTGCTGGGCTCAGGGGTGCCTCAGGTCTTGGGAGTGGCACCTTCTTGTGGGTGGGGCACTGTGGTAGCTCATGAGGCTAATGAGCCACAGAAGCCCCGTTAGGCCATAGCGTGCACTGTGTATTTATTCTTAGCTTTCACTGCAGTCAAGAAACCAATTTCCCTTAAAAAATATCTGAAGGATGCAAGGAGACAGCTGTCCCTCAGTTTGCTCATGGGGTGCAGGGCATAGCCCAAGGGCATGAAGGCGGGTCTGCCCAGGAAGACCGCTCCGGAGGCCCAGTAGCCCTCCAATTAGCCATCTTGTGATCAGAACCATCCCCCGCCCCCCAATTCATCCTCTGAGTACAGGACTACCTATTTCATTTCTGGAAGAAAAAAGATGTTCTGGATTTATTTTGAAGCCAGCTAAGTCGTATCTGACCACATGATATATTCCATGCTCTTATCACCTTGAACCCTGCCACCTCAACAGTAAGTATGACCCACTCCTATGTTAGTGTGTCCTTTATAGAAAGTTTACATTACAAAACTCCTCAAGGCCGAAGCGTCCCCTCCTGAGGCCTGTTGATCCTTGCCTCCACTGCTCCATCTCTCCTCCTCCGACGCCCTCCTGAGGCAGCCAGGCAGCTCGCCGGCCCACCTTCCAGCTGCATATCTTTGACCACTCTTCTTCTAGCCCCTGTCCTCCTCTGTGGCTCAGGGCAGAAGATGGTACCTGGAGGTCTCCAGGGTGTGGCCAGAATTGCAGGATGCTCTGTCTGGCCTAGGTAGTACTCTTTGAAAGTTTGAGCTACAAGTTGAAAACCAGGGGACTTTACATACAAATCTAGATTTGCAGCTTCTTTTGAACCATCCAGGCCTGTGTTCCCACCGGGCAGGTCCGGCCTTTTCCACACAGTGAAGGCGGGGCACAGATTCCCCAACCGGCCCCCACAAGTTCTCACTGTACTCGCACACTTGTTTTCCTCCAGGGAGAGTCCCATTTCCCAGAACCCACATCTCCATCAAATGTGGGAAGACAAGAGAGGATCAAAGAGGGCGATGTGGTTTTTCTTTGCCTGGCCTGCCTCACTAGCTATGGGCATCTGAGTTTGTGTGGCCTGCTTTCCAGGAGGACGGTGGCCTCTAGGGCAGATGGGTCCTTGCTCTGGACAAAAAGGTGGTCAGCCTGGCTCTGTGAGGAGCCAGGTGGGGTGGCCTCGCTTGGGAAGACATGGTCAGCATTGATGTGCTTTACTAACGCCACGGCAGGGTGGTAGATATAGACACACCGGACAGGCCAGGGTGGCTGAACGCAGCACCCGTTTGGGCTCATCTGGGGCTGCTCAGACACAACTCAGGGAGACCCTAAAATCGGGCCCAAAGTTGCCCAATGCCAACCCGTAGGCAAAACCTTTAGTGAGCACAGCTTGCTGCATCTGTGAAGTCCAGCCACGCCCGGAGAGCCCTCTGGGCTCTGAGCAGGGCCCTGAGCCTGCAACAGCAATGCTGCTTGAGTGCGTACTCTCACAGTGCCTGGCGGTCCAGGCTTGAGGGTGCCGCCCGAGGTGACCTCCATGGTCACTGCCAGCTCTTCTTCCCTTAGGGTTCTGGGATTCCAAAAAACAGGGGTCACTTAATGCCAGAACAACTTTGAACACAGCCTAAGAGGCCTGCTCATCTGATTTTTTCACATGACCTAAATTTACTTCTTTTTTGTTACAAATGTAATTTTTTATTTAAAATCAATTTAGGTAACCTAGTATATTATTAGTTTCCGGGGTAGAATTTAGTGATTCATCGGTTGCATACAACACCCAGTGCTCATTACATCACGTGCCCTCCTTAATGCCCATCACCCAGTTACCCCATCCCCCCACCTCCCTCCCCTCCAACAACCCTCAGTTTGTTTCCTAGGGTTAAGAGTCTCTTATGGGGACACCTGGGTGGCTTTGTCGGTTAAGCATCTGCCTTCAGCTCAGGTCATGATCCTGGAGTCCTGGGATCGAGTCCCATATCTGGCTTCCTGCCTCCCGCTCCCTCTGCCTGCAGCTCCCCCTGCTTGTGCTCTCTCTGACAAATAAATAAATAAATAAAATCTTAAAAAAAAAAAAAGAGTCTCTTATGGTTTGCCTCCCCTCTGTTTCTACTTTTCCTTCCCTTCCTCTATGTTCATCTGTTTTGTTTCTTAAATTCCACATATGAGTGATATCATATGGTATTTGTCTTTCTCTGACTTATTTCACTTAGCATAATACACTCTAGCTCCATCCACATCATTGCAAATGGCAAGACTTCATTCTTTTTGATGGCTAATATTTCACTGTATAAATTTACTTCTTGAAATGTGTCCCTTTTTGGTTAAATGTTTTGGGGAGGCAGACAATCTCTGCTTTATTCACAGAAGCCTATTATCATGGATCACCATTAGGAAGATGCATTCATTGCGTTCTCTATCCTTTTTTTTTTAAGAGGGGTGGGGGGAGAGGGCAAGACAGAATCTTAAGCAGCCTCCACACACAGCACGCAGTCTGACTGGGGCTTGATCTCATGACCCTGAGATCATGACCTGAGCCGAAATCAGTTGTTGGATGCTTAAGTGACTGAGTCACCCAGGTGACCCGCATTCTCTATCCTAAACCATGAAACCCTCATGAGTACCCAGCAACCAGCCAGACAAGGTGGCAGTGCCTCTCCAATACCTGCCCATGATGCTACAGTGGGCTCCCAGTACCTGCATTGTCTTGACTTCTGGGAAGTCTCCGGCAGAAATCTGGTATTCTCGCTGCAGCTGAAGGTAGATCTCTGGCAGTCTGCTGATAAGCTCTCTCTTCTTGTTTTCCTTTCCGAACACAGTCGGCATCTCCTTCTTCAGGTGGCTGATAACGTAGGCATGTACCTGAAGGGGAATATGTCAGTAAGGACATGCTATTTAGAACTGCACCAGAAAGATAAACAGGAAGGCGTCTTAAAGGTATCATAACACATAACAGGTGCCCGTGCAGGGCCATGGCCCTCCGGACAGAAGAGTGAGGATCAGGGGGCTGGGGGCTACATTACAAAACTGTTCTGGGCGTCTAGAATGTGAAGTACATGAAGGACCCCAAGATGGCGCTGTCTACAGGTGCCTGGAAAGAGGGTCCCCCCCGCCCCACCGCCGAGTCCGAGCTCCAGAGAGAGCTGGCCTGGGTGTCGGGTTTAAGAGCTGGAGCAGAGGTGGTGGCCAGAACCACAGGAGTGGTTGAGACCACTGAGGGAAAGTGGGCAGAGAAAACCCCACCCAGAAGGATCAGGAGGGGGAGTGGGCTGTGACAGATAAAGGCTGTGGGAGAGAAGGGCCAGGAAGAGGTGACACCTGAGTTGGGCCCCGAAGACTGGGAGGATGTGAGGGAGGGCTGTGGCCATCCAGGAGAGTGGAGAGCGCAGACGGTGCTGTGGAAGTAACACGCTGTGGGCCCTATTTGGGGCAGGGCCGTGTATGTGGCTGTGGCACATCTCAGAAAGTGGGGAAGGCAGACTGCTGTGGGGGCCAGGAGCCGATGGAGGATTAGAATGAGCCTCCGCTAACCTCCTGTGGTGCTGATGAAGGTTCTGGGAGACCAGGGGCCAGCGCAGTGCCGTGAGCTCCCTGCTTTGGAAGCGGGCCGGTGGTGCGTGGCTGGGGATGGGGTGGGGCGACTGACTTGGGCAAGGTCTCTGGCGCTGAGTTGTGCCGAGTCTGCGCAGGGAGCAAGGGGGGTGGGTGGGGCCTGGGCAGAAAGACCTTAGTTCCGGCGATTAACCAGAAGACCTAAAGAAAGTTTCAGCAGGGCCGGTGCCCGGGAGCACCAGGAAACGAAACTGGAGGCTGATGCAAATGGCTGATCTGACGTAAGTGGCTAATCTGCATGGAAATCTGTGCCCAGTGAACAGGGAGATGAAAATTCCTGTAACCTCTCCGTGGAGAGTTTGAACCCCAGGATCTCTATAGATGGTACTGAGGTCCTTTCTGCACAAGACCAGCTGTGTGGGACCATGCCAGACGGCAGAAGCTCCCTCTGGGACAGGGACCCCCAGTACACGAAGGGGAAACTCCAGAAACCCTGATCAGTGAGCCGTAGCAGGCCAGGGACCGTCACCGGAGGGGTGGTGAACCCTGCTGGGTGGGCTCTGCTCGGCTGTGTCACCCCCTTCCTCAACATTTCCACTCTTCTGCTGATTTCCAACTTTAGGACGTGAAGAAATGTTTGTTACAAAAGTTCTCTTTGTATGCCAGAATTCTATAGTGTCATTTAGAAGTCAAGAAAATAAAGTGGGAATGGATGAAAAACAGAACAGTGATGACAAAAAGAAAATGACTAGGTAGCTATGGAAGATCCTTTATTAAAGAAAACAGACTTCTATAATCTTGTGGAAGAATGGAAATTGAATAAAGGGGGTAAGCAGAGACATCTTCTACCTCAGCTGAGAGCCTCTGTGTATGGACACACACTGGGCACAGCCCAGAACATTCTGCTAAGATCTGAAACCTAAAATAAGTGCGTATCATAAACGCGGATGGGCTCAGACCAGACGATGCGAAAGGGAGGTGTCGAAACCTCTCTGTCACTAGTACACTTATTTACCTATTTTTCAAATTAAAACAACTTAAATCATTTATATGATTCTTTGAGAAAGGGAAACCCCAAATTTGGGAATGCTTTATTTAGAGTGTCAGACTTTAACTGCATTCCTGAGGATGTAATGAATACGTGGTAAGACTAGCAATTTCCTTGCCTTGGACAGTGAATGCCTGGCTTGGTTTGGTGGGGCTGGGGAGGGTACTGTATCGCACCGAAGGACTTGGAGGGGCTGCTGTACTCAATTGGGAGAACCAGCAGCCACTAGCTGTCCTTGTGTCATTTCCAGGTGCTCCTGGAACTTCTGGACTGGGCCAGTGGATCCCTCTCCCTTCCAGACTCAGGCCTGTCCCGCGCTGGAGCCAGCCCCAACTGAAGCAGGAACTCCCAAGCTGCTTAGTCTCCTATCTACAAGGGTTTTTACTAAACTCCCACCCCCAGAGCCCAGGCCTGGGGCAGCTGCCGGACCCCTGCAGGGCTTCCCAAGACTCCCTCACTACCTACTAATGTGGACCTTTTGAGTTGCCAGGCCTGTGCTCAGGGAAGGCTGACACCCCACACAGCCGCCGGCCACACTACGATTGGCACTCGGTTTCTGAACACTGCCTGGTACCCAGGGGCCTGCATTACCTGGCCTGACTGCAGGTGATGTGCACCTGCCACAGCTCTCCACCATGGCCTGGCACCTGCTCCCTCATCTCAGCCCTCACGGTGTTCTTTGCTGATGACCAAGACTGCTGGATGGTGGGCTGCCCTTGGACACCAGGCCTCTGGTGCCCTGACAGAAGCTGGGCCTCAATTCCTTCCTCCTTCCACCCTGCCTGGCACTATCTGAGTCATGACCCTCAGGGGCCCTACTCATGTTTCAGGCTGCTCTCAGCCTCAACCTCCACTTCCAGAAAGTTCCACCAGTCTGTTTGGTGGGAGTCTCCTGTTGTGCTTTCTCTGCCTCGCCACCCCCTCCTGCCCTTCCATGGGCATGCTGGCAATAACCCAGGGTCAGATACGATGTATGGACCCTGCCTTTAAGAAGCTTATTGAGTTACAAGGTAAATTATAATCCTTAGAATCATGGAACATTACATCTGTAAGGGACCCCCTGTCCCTTCTAATTGCACTTCCGGTTCCAGGAAATTCACATGACTTACTCAAGGTCACACAGCCACCTTGTGTGGGTGAGGCAGAGCTGTCACTAGCATTCAACTGCCTCATTCCTGTCCTTACAGAGTTAATTGCTTTCTGTGGGGATGCATTAAAAAATCTTACTAAAGCTGTTGAAAATCTGCAACTGAAAATGAACTGTGTCCTATAGAAAATCAGTGTGGAAAACTGTGACTTGATGGGTTTTGATTGTCCCTAAGTCCCAGGGACACTGTGGGAAGGTCATTTAGAGTCTCCCTCCCCATATGAAAAAAACGCATATATTATGGCACATACCACTACGAACACCACGTAGGATGTGGGTACAGACAGCAGTCTTCTGGCAGGATGGCACCTTGTAATTTTCTAAAGACTCTTGGTAAACAGAGGGGACAGCCTGGAGGCACATTCCTGCCCTTCTGGGTCAAAGAAGTTTTTCCAGATAAACACAGGACTGAGGGCCAGACCAGGCGATGGTCCCTGGGGAAGGAGGTGGACACAATCTAAGACCTTTTGTTCTTTATAATGAAAGAAAACTAATTGAGAAGAAGGGAGATAGGAAAGACAAGAGGGAAGAGAAAGGGGAGAAGGGGGAGGCCTGATGAGACCCAGCGCTGGAAGGCCAGGGTCAGGCCCTGCCCCCACTGCCCACTTGCTGAGCAACGCCAGGTGACTCAAGTCCCCCACCTCAGCCTACTCACACACAAACTGGAAATGACAACTCTTACCTCACAGGGTTGTTAGGATGAGAATCAAAAGAGATCACGGATTTGGATGTACTGGAAAGAGGAGTAAAAATGTTCCTTGTTATTGCCTAACGGCCAAAGACCCACAGTTGGAGGGTTAGTAATGCCAGAGAAGGCTTGTGGTTTAGTTCTTACTGGATAATGAATAAACTCTTACTGACTTATTAATCGTTACTGAAAAAATTAATAATCTCTATGTATTTGAATAGTAATATGATGAATCTGGGTCCCAAGCGCTTCATTCACAAGTGACATTGAACCCTGGGGGCTTTTGAATATTCTTATCTTGTCCAATTCACCCTTTCTCTCGTATAAAACTGGGAAAGCCCCAACTCAGCCAATGTTGATGATTTGGGCTAGGCCAAACGCATCACAATGTCAGTTTCTCTCTGGGCTAATAACACGAGCAGAAAGAGATGTCCTTCCCTTTAAATGAACATGAATTTATATCTAGTTAACATACATATTCTGCTACAATCTCATTAACTGTGTCCACTGACAAGTGTTCATACATACCCAAGGCAGAGAAGCATGTACTCAGAGTGATACTGGATGTATCCACCCTGGGCATGGAGGGCAGCCCCAGACAGCGAGTCCTGAAAGCTTCCATTGCTCATGGTCAGTAGGAGTGGAAATGCTCATGGGATTTGGATATTGGGGAGCAGTTTGGGGGGATTCAGGCTGGGGGAACATGGTTCTACACTATGCCATCTCAACTGCAAGTTAACCCAACCTGGTGAAGACCTGCGTCTTTGGAGGCCCAGCTAGAAACTTGCACCGAGCATTTAACATTAAGAGATGAGCACATTTTAAAAGTGGGTTTATGATGAGATATATATATATATATATATATATCAGTTAACGAAGTAGAGACCCAGAAGGTGGGGTCAGCCACTGTAGAAGGATCCTCACACCTTAGCCTGGGCCCATTTGGTGAATTTCAAAACATCTAACTTCTCCACAGAAGGAATTGGCAGTGCAGACAGACCGGAAAGCTAGGCTCTGCGCTTTGCATGTGACTGGTGGAGAACACGCTTTGAAGACAAAACTGAATGCCACAGACCTAGGGTGGATGCTGAAAATCCCTGACCTCTCCTTTTCTTTCTCATTTTTAGCTGTTCCTTCCTCAAATGTTGACTCATTTTTTGTTGAGTGAAGATCGCTAAAGGGGTGGGAACCTTTCCTACTCTTGGGCAACGTTTACAAAGGGTGGAGTCCTCACTATTTTTGTTCGTTTATTCCATTAAGTACTCTTATTTGGGGTTTGTTTGTAAGAGCCTAATTTCCTCAATTTGGCTATTTTAGTGATAGCTGAATAAAAGTAAATGACATTTTCTAAATGCTTTTTTGGGCTTTCCCAAAACTGCAAAGAATCATGAAATGAACCTTGATTAGCACCTTAGATTGTAAATCGTCTTCAAAAAAGGATGCCTACTGATATCATTAAGATGCAATCTTTGAGGTTAACCAAAAAACCCACTCTATAGTTTTCTTGTTCCTTGAAATACAGAGAGTTGTGAAAAATACATATAAAAATGGAAAAAGCAGGGAAATCATTAAATTTCAAGAGATCTTTGGTAAGAGTGCTATTTTTCAATTATTAAAGTGTCATTTTTATGGTACCTTGAGCTTGATCACTGCAGACCCTGGCAGGATATTAGCAACAGGACATACATGCTTTACTTCTGGACGGGACGTGAATTCTGCCTAATTAAGGTGTTCTATAAATAGGCACACTCCATACCCCAAGTCGATCTGACACCTCCTAGGTGACATCTAAAAACTTATCCTTTGCATGTCTGTCAGCTTGATAAACCTCTAAACTTTGCAGGGTTCCTGTGGATAAACAATTTCATAGAATACACAGAATGACAGATGAACGCAAAAAGCAATAGTGAAAAGCTATAGATGCTGTCCACTCTGCATTTCAGGTGAATGCTCTCCAGACCAAGGAGCCAAACTAACTAAGGTCTGAATTTATATTTTGCAACTCACAGGCTGTGAGGCGTTGGGCAAGTTGCTTCACCTCTCTGAGCTTCAGTTCCCTTGCATGAGAACAAAGATAATGCCCGACTTTGTGCACAGTTATGGACTGGATCAGATGAAGTAACACATGTAATATACATCGTGGAGCTTCTGGAATGCTGCAGACCCTCAGTAAGGGTTGGCTTGCAAAAGCAACACAGGACCAAGAGAAATAAAGATCAATATGCCAAAATCAAAGAGCATTTTCATGCAATATAAATACCACAAAGAGAAAAACTTGGGTGACTCCTTGTCCATTTAAGCAACAAGTTCACAAATGGCCATAAAGTGGCAGATGGTGTGAAGCAGATGACATTGGTTAGTAGCTAAGGCCTTTGTGCTGAGTTCTGTTCCTTCTTTGCCGGAGCCTCTGTGTCCTGTCCCCCTGTGCAGGATGGTACTGCCCCCAGGAGCACCCTGGCACTGAGAAGCTCAGGCTGGAAACATCCATACTTCAAACATTTTCTTTTATGAAAAGGAACAAGCCAGATATTATTCTTAGGAAGAAAAAAAAAAAAGACAAGCTTTTTTCCTAGACATAAGCTCAGCAAGTTGCCGCCCCCTGCCCCCTCCCCCGCCCCGCACCCCTACCCCATGCATCAGCACAAGGGCTTTCATTATTCTCAGTGTCAGGACAGAGCAGCATTCTGTGGCCATGCTGGTCCGTCCGTTCAGAGGGCCTAACGCTCAAGGAGGGCAGAGAAGTCCCAAGGCGCTTGGCACTCCCTGTGAACTCTCTGCTCTTTATTTACTCCTGTGACCAAATACAGCTGCGCCTTGAGTCACTAGGCCTTCCACAGTGACTGGTAAAGTAGAAATGTCCATGGGCATTTATAAATAGCTCCAAGACAATCTTGAAATCTACAAAGGCTAGCACAGGATTCATCATCTTGGTTATAGAATAAGGTTAGGTATTGTGGACCCTGAAGTGGGAGTTCAGATGTATCAGCTGAAGAAGAGAAATACCACACGCCAAGGGGCTACCAAAGGGGCGAAAGCAGACTTCCTACCACCAAGCGTTAGGCCCAGGACTAGTGCACGAGAGAAATCACTTCAGGAAAGCTGTAAGTAAGTGGATTTACAAACTGATTAGCATGACCTATGGCCTCGTAGAAAAAATGGTGGTAGTACCAGAGAGGAACCAGTCTGGACCAGGAAGAGGGGATAAAGAATGGTACCTCACAGGGGCACCGTGACTGCAGATCAGCCAGGCGAGGCAGGAGTATGTGTGAGCACGCACTGGGATGGGAGGTGAGCAGAGGGCAAAAGAGCAGATGGGTCCTATCTGTGGGGCCAGAGACAGACGGCGCCGGGCGTCTCTTTGGATACAGGAGTGATGCTGCTGGGTGAGCACATTGGCACGGAGACGGAGGCTGCTGGGCAGTGATGAGGAGCTGTGAGAAGGCCAACCGCCTGTCCAGCAGTCCCCCTCAGTGGAGCCCTCCCTGCCTCCCCCAGCCAGACCCCCTCCTCAGAGCATGGTGTCCACACCCCACTCAGCACACAGCTCATCATTCTGTAATGGGGGCTTGGGGGCCTCCTCCTCCGCCGCCAGCTAGGCTCCCCAGCTCTGGCCCTGGTGCTTAGCAAATGGGGCCTGCATGAGGCAAAGTGGTGGTGGATTCCAGAAGGCTGGCCTGCTGGACCCCAAGGCCAGACCGGAAGTCACTCTCTGTGCAGCAAGAGAATAAGGGAGGAGACATGGTTTCTTTGCCACCAGAAGATGAAGGGGAAGTAAACTGCCCTCCCTTCCTGACCAGGGTGCCAGTGGATTTGGCAAGGCAGGCCTGTGGACTGGTTTTAGCTGATGTAACAAGGCGCGGGGCTAGGCTGAGAGCAGGAGTGCTGTCTTTTCGTCCTAGTTATGTTACTTGTGGATTAGGTGACCCTGGAGAGATTGCTTATTCTACCTCGTCCTTCCAGAATTAGGGAGTGGATAGATCTCTGGCTTCCAAATGTGGCTGATTATCAGAATCACCTGGGGAGCTTTACACACACACACACACACACACACACACACACACACTCACTCACTCACATACACACACGCAGACATGCATACACACGAATCAGAAGCTCCTGCGCAGGGCCCGGGAATTTACATTGGTTCAAGCTCCTGGGTGCATCTGATGATCCCTGACACCAGGAAAACTCTGGAGGCACTTCCAGCATTAGAGGAATATAGGATTTTATGAAAGGCGCACACAGCCTTTAAAGAACCATTTTTTTCCCTACACTTTTTCTTAGAGGAGTCATGCGCTTTTCTCTCTTCAGAGATGTGACAGAATCAAAGACAGTGCTTGAGGATGGCGAGCAGATGAACACTCACCCCGTCGGGTACACACCCCTGGCGCTGCTGAAAGGCTCGGCTGTGCGGTGGGGAAGCCCAGAGCCACAGTGGGCATGCTGCGGACACCCACCCAGCGTGGGGTGCATCACAGCCTCCAGAGCAGCACACTCCGTGCGTCAGGCTGAGCCAGCCTTCCTCCCGGGGCAGCTCTGGCCCCAGTGACAGAGGACATTGGCTTCTGTGCCTTAGGCACAGGGTGACTAGCGGTGGCATCTCAGCACCCTAATGGTCCCACCAACACCACCTCTCTGGCTCGGCTGGTTACACTCTCCTTGTCCTAAGATAATAGCAGCTTCCAGGTGGTGAGTGCACCGATCCCTCCCTGTGTGCCCCGCAAGCGAGGTCACACTGGAGCCTCACAAGCATCCTATGCCATGATCTTACTAGCTCTATTTTACAGATTAGAACACTGGTTTGGAAAGGTTGAATCATCTGCCAAAGAGCACAGAGTAGGAGTCAGAATCTAAACAAGCATACTGATCTTGAGGCTCTCTTCTTAACCTTTTCCACTTTCCATTCCCTAGGGCACCTGGAATGGAACCTCCCGCACCCTCACCTTCCCTTAGAGAGGAGAGAGCGGGAAGGGTCCCCTGCTGCCCAGGGTGTCTCCTTGGCTCACCTTGGCCAGCCTCGCTCGCTTGATGAGGTCGTTGAGTTTGCGCACGGCCGCCTTCTGGGGAAGGCTCTGGATGTCTCTGAAGAGGTCCTGGGCCTCAGCCTCGAAGAGGCGGCGGTTGTCAGTGTTCTGTAGGGGCTGTGCCCAGAAGGAGCCGATGTAGACACGAAGCACCTCGGGTGTGTTGATGACCTTGCCCAGGGACCACATGAGGGCCCCATAGACGCGCATCAGCTGCTGTGTGTCCACTTGGTCGGCCTTGTTCAGCACCACGCGGATCTTGTCATCCTGGCCCCGGAAGGCCTTGATGGCCTCTGAGAACTCATCTGAGATGTCCAGTTTGTGAGCATCGAAGAGCAGGATGATCCTGTCCACGCGCTCCGCGAACCACTGCAGGACCTGGCAGAAGTCATAGCCTAGATGGAGAGAAGGGCACATCAGTGTGGCTGATGCTCAGGGCTGGGGACGTGCTGGTGCGCTGGCGGCTGCCAAGGACAGAGCGCCACCTCCAAGGACGCAATGGAGGCCTCATGGCCTGCAAATCACTTCAGATGAGCCCCCTAGGGCTGGATGCATTCAGGAGTTAAAGCTGAGGATCCCAGGAGTTCATGATCATTCTGATTGGGCATCACTTACTTCCGGATCTGTGATTTCATTTAGTCCCCACGAGTATCTTACTTCCCCTGGTACAGTTCTTGGGATTGATGGCAAATTTGATCAATGGCTCTGTAAAACCACAGGCCCTGGGTCAAAAGCTCTCCCTTCTGCCAAAGGCTCACTTTTCAGAAAGTAGCAGAGGTGGAGAAGGAAGAAAACCCAGGGGTCGCTCGGGGTTGTGCCCAGTAAGCACAACAAAAGAGGAATTGTCTTCTCTTATCCTAAGTGTTTAGGGGTTAAGGAGGCCAAATGATGACCTGCCCCAAAACTGTGACCAATATTTATCATTTGGACTATTTATATCTTAAGTAAGTTGTAAATATTTTTAAAAAATCACGTCTCACAGCCATTGTGTGAAGTGGTCTCTTGCCAATTTCGTTTTAAAAAATGGCCAGGCCCACAACAAATTGTTTAGTTTGCTTTGGCTGCATGCCAATATGCTCCAAATCATGCAGCTCTGTAAACACTCCTCACCGGCCATGGTCAAGGCCTGTTTCTGGCCTGCCCCTGGGGAGGCAGAGGCCCACGGAAAGCAAACAAGAGAGGACCAGTCCCACAAGGTTTATTTTTAATCTCTAGGTTATGACTGATTAGCTGTGGGCTCAGGCTCGGCGCAGCCCAATTAGAGCCAAGATGGTACCTTCCGTGACTTCTACTTTAGTCCTATCACCCCTTTTTTATAGATCTTGAGAACTTCCAAACACACATAAAGGTCTAGAAAATAATATGATGAATGCTGATATACCCATCACATAACTTTAATAAATTTTGACCTTTGGCCTTATTTGCCTCAGATGCTTTAAAGAATTTAAGTGTACTTTATTTATATAACAAAATTCCATATAGCAGTGAGGATGAATTAGATTTTCACTTGTCAACACAGGCAAATCTCCAAAAGACTGGTGAGCGAAAATCAGTTTCAAAAGGATATGTCCAGCATGATAACATTCACATAAAACGTTAAAAAAACAAAGCAATACTCAAGAGCCAATAGATACATACGACAGCACAAATACAAAAATATTAACGCTAATTTTGGAATACTGGTGAACTCTGAGGGTTCTAAGGTAGATGAGAAAGCATCTAGAGAATGATCTATTTTCAAAAATAAAGGGGGTCGAGGGACTAAAGTTTCCATAAATTTGTAGAACAGGTGTAAAGGGAGTAGTTGAAGAACAAAAGGATTTAGACACAATTTCAATAAAGAACACAAAACATTCCAAAAATGCTGAAATTCCCTGTGGACCCCTCCCCAAGCACTCTCCCCAGAGGAAAGCACTGCCCTTGAACATGGTGTTTATCGTCGTTACATGTTTGTGTGTTTCCCGTTCATACTTCTTCTCTATTCTGTCTCACAGTGGCACTCCCTGATTCCTTGGGGACAAGGTGGGCAAAGGTAGTTGTCAGAATGTGGGCCAGAGTTTATTTTCATCACGATCAGCAGTCAGGTGAGAACAGAAGAAAATCAAAGACCTGTTGTATGGGGTCGCACAGCAGTATGTAAAGATTCAGAGTCCAGATTTCACTCGGAGTTCTGTCCCTGCAGGGCCAGAACAAACTGCCTCCAAAGGTGCTTCTGTCATTCCAGACTGATTTGGGTCCATCAGATAGTCCCAGACCCTGAGTAGGAGATCCTCAGCAGATGAATGATGGCTCTGCGACCTGGGAGCCAGGAAGATGTTTTAGAACTGACCACCAGAAAGACCTGCATGTGGACACTGGAGTGGACATGAGTTGAATTTGCTGGACACCTTTCCTATTGGACGAGGGGTCCCGTGTGGGCCATAGATGCTGAAGGTGTAGCAGACAGTCCCTTACCCTACTCATTGCCAGGTTGGGGAACAGACAGGTGATCTAGAACCAGAGAATCATCTCCTCCCACCAGACGGGGGTGTTGAATCTTGAGGGAATGATGCAAAGTTACAGGGAAAATGAGAATTTC